GAAGAGAGATCTAGAAAGACACCAGAAGTCACTCTCTGGCTTCCACATGTACATTCCCATGTGTACATACTTGAGAATATATATACATATAGATATGCAAGCAAACCATACATATGCATGTACACGCACACACACACACACACAAAGTTAAAAACTAAAAAAATCTAATGATTGGCAATTAAAAGAAAAGAGACTCAGAATCATTCCTTTGAGGCAAACAGGCTATACAGAAATCAAGGACTAAGGGGTTCAAACATCCAAAGTACTATCACTTAGAACTCACCATCCAATGACTGACTAGCTCTAAGTACTGGCCATCATCAGCATGGACAGCCAGAACTGGTCAAGGAACCTGTGACAGAATGTTTGAGCAAACAGCAGGAGAGAGAGACAGGAACAAAGGAGGGAGGGAAGGAAGACAAGCTGTGTCTTTAATTAAATGCCAATAAAGATCAGCAAGGCAACTTATAAATTTCAAATTGAAACTGAGAAAACTAGTTTGGGCCATGATTAAGTACCATGTCAAACCTAAGAAAAGTAGTTTTTCATTTCTAATCAGTAAACACTAAAGATAAGATTTATAGTGCTGGACATGATGGTATATGTCTGGAAATCTATCTAGTGGCTGAGCAGGAGGACTGTCACAAGTTTGAGGCCAGCCAGGGCTACATAACAAAACCCTGCCTCAAGAAACCCAAATCATCAAAGTAAGTTCTATAATTTGAACACTTCACATTTTAAACTTGTGGTAAAGGCCAGGCATGGTGGCACACATCTTTATCTTGTTACTCTCGAGAAGCAGGCGGATCTCTGGGAGTTTGAGGCCAGCCTGGTCTACACAATGAATTCTAGGACAGCCTGAGCAAACTAGTGAGACACTGCCTTGAAAGAAACAAGTCAGAAAAAAATTATAATAACAAAAGACATAAGCAGAATGTTTGACTGAGGAAACAAGCTCCACCAGGAGCAGAAGCCAGGAGCAAATCCCGTCCTGGAAGCCAACCCTGTCCAGGGACCCTAGCGGACCAGAATTGAGTGAGCGACCTGACTCAGAGTCAGCGATCTCCACCAGAACCGGAGTGGGACAGAACCAGCTACATAGAACAGAGAGCGAATAGCTCCACTAGGAGCAGAAGCCAGGAGCAAATCCAGTCCCGGGAGCCAACCCAGTCCCAAGACACTGGTGGATCAGGATTGAGCCGATCCAGAGTCTGCAATCTCCACCAGAACAGGTTCAGCTCCAAGTGAGGTACTTCTGCAGGAGGAGATCCAGACAAGGATTTACAGAAACAGATCAAATCCAGCAACCTAGGCCAAAGTAGGCCTGACACAGCAAACTGCAAGTGAGCAGAGCAAGGCACAGGAACACTGAGCTATATCCAAGAACACCGAGTAACCAATGGAGAAACTAAAACAGCAATACTGACTGTACCACGAGGAACAACCATCTGAGCTTTGGATTCACTCGCACCTAGATTATTCAACAGAATCTCAGACAGCCACAACCACACCTATTAGAGGAAAAGATGAATAGAAAAGGTAAGATCACACACTACACCACAAAGAGCACCACAACACCAGTAAAACCTAAAGACCCTACAAAAGCAAGACCTGAACAACCAAATATGGATGAACCAGAAGAAAATGAATTAAAAAATAACTTCAAGAGAATGTTAGAAATTCTTAAAGATGAAATGAGGAATTCCCTTAAAGAAATTGAGGAAAAGACAAACAAAAAAATTGGAAGATATCAGCAAATCACTTAAAGAAAACCAAGAAAAAGAAATCAAACATATAAAAGAAATTATTCAGGACTTGAAAACTGAAACAGAAACAATAAAGAAATCACAAGCTGAAGGAATTATAGAAACAGAAATCATGAGAAAAAGATCAAGAACCACAAACACAAGCATGAACAGCAGAATACAAGAGATGGAAGAGAGAATCTCAAGCGCTGAAGATACAATAAAGGAAATAGACTCATCAGTTAAAGAAAACATTAAATCTAACAAAAGCTTAACCCAAAATATCCAGGAAATATGGGACATCATTAAAAGGCCAAATATTAAAATAGGTATAGAAGAAGGAGAAGAAGTTCAACTCAAAGGCACAGAAAACTTATTCAACAAAATCATAGAAGAAAAATTTCCCAACCTAAAGAAAAATATGCCTATGAAGATACAAGAAGCTTAAAGAACACCAAATAGACTGGATCCAAAAACAAGTCCTTTCACCACATAATAATCAAAACACTAAACACACAGAGGAAAGAAAGAATATTAAGAGCTGCAAAGAAAAAAAGCCAAGTAACATATAAAGATAGACCTTTACACCTGACTTCCTATTGAAGATGATGAAAGCCAGAAGGTCATGGTCAAGCATTATGCAGACATTAAGAGACCACAGATGCCAGCCCAGACTACTATACCCAGCAAAACTGTCAATCACAATAGGAGGACAAAACAAGATATTCCATGACAAATCTAGATTTCACCAATACCTAGTCACAAACCCAGCCCTACACAAAATACTAGAAGGAAAACTCCAACCCAAGGAAGATGTCTACACCAATAAAAACACAGACAATTGATGATCTCATTAACAGCAAATCCCAAAGAAGAAAAAAATGCACAAATTAACATCACCAATGATGAAAACTAAATTAACAGGAGATAGCAATCACTGGTCATTAATATCCCTTAATGTAAATGGACTCAACTCACCTATAAAAAGGCATAGGCTAACAGATTGGATACGAAAACAGAATTCATCCCTCTTTTGCATACAAGAAACACATCTCAACCTCAAAGAGAGTCATCGTCTCAGAGTAAAGGGTTGGGAAAAAAATACCAATCAAATGGACCTAAGAAACAAGCAGGTATAGCTATCCTAATATCAAACAAAATAGACTTCAAGCTAAAATCAGTCAAAAGAAACAAAGGTAATTTCATATTAGTCACAGGAAAAATCCATCAAGAGGAAATTTCAATACTGAACATCTATGCCCCAAATACAAGGGCACCTTCATGTATGAAAGAAACACTTCTAAAGCTTAAATCATATATTAAACCCCACACACTAATAGTGGGAGACTTCAACACTCCCCTCTCACTACTGGACAGGTCAATCAGACAAAAAATGAATAGAGAAATAAGAGAACTAACAGATGTTATGACTCAAATGGACTTAAAGGACATATATAGAATATTCCATCCAAACAGAAAAGAATATACCTTCTCAGAACCTCATGGAACCTTCTCAAAAGCTGACCACATACTCAGTAACAAAACAAACCTCAACAAATATATATATAAAAAAATTGGATTAACCCAATACCTTATCAGATCACCATGGTATAAAACTAGAAGTCAACAGCAATAATAATTCCAGAAAACCCACAAACACATGGAAATTGAACAATGCTCACCTGAACCATTCATCAAACTATTCATTATAGTTCTTGAGGTCCTAGCTACAGCAGTAAGACACCAAAAGGAGATCAAAGGGATACAAATTGGAAAAGAAGAAGTCAAATTCTCACTGTTTGTTCATGGTATGATAGTTTACATAAGTGATCCCAAAAATTCTACCAAGGAACTTCTACAACTCATAAACACTTTCAGCAAAATAGCAGGATACAAGATTAAGTCAAAAAAAAAAAATGAGTAGCCTTCCTGTACACAGATGATAAAAGGGCTTGGGAAGAAATCAGAGAATCAACACCCTTCATAATAGCCACAAATAGCATAAAATATCCTGGAGTAACTCTAACCAAACAAGTGAAGACTTGTATGATAAGAACTTTAAATCTTTGAAGAAAGAAATTGAAGAAGACACCAGAAAGTGGAAAGATCTCCCATGCTCATGGGTAGGCAGAATTAACATAGTAAAAAATGGCAATCTTACCTAAAGCAATCTACAGATTCAACACAATGCCCATCAAAATCCCAGCAAAATTCTTCAAAGACTTCAACATGGTCAACAAGACAAAACAGCAGCCTACAGGAGGGGAAAAGATCTTCACTAACCCCACATCAGACAGAGGTCTGATCTCCAAAATATACAAGGAACTTAAGAAACTGGACACCAAAAGATCACATAATCCAATAAAAAAAAAAAATGGAGTACAGACCTAAACAGAGAACTCATCAGAGGAATCTAACATGTCTGAAAGACACTTAAGGAAATGTTCAACATCCTTAGAGTCATCAGAGAAATGCAAATCAAAACAACTCAGATTCCATCTTATACCTGTAAGAATGGCCAAGATCAAAAACACTGATGACAACTTATGCTTGAGAGGTTGTGGGAAAAAGGGAACACTTCTGCATTGTGGGTGGGAATGCAAGCTGGTACAACCCCTTTGGATGTCAGTGTGGTGATTTCTCAGAAAATTAGGAAACAACCTTCCTCAAGACCCAGTAATACCACTTTTGGGTATATATCCAAAGGATGCTCAATCGTGCCACAAGGACATGTGCTCAACTATGTTTATAGCAGCTTTGTTTATCATAACCAGAACCTGGAAACAACCTAAATGCCCCTTGACGGAAGAATGGATAAGGAAAACATGGTACATTTACACAATGGAGTACTACACAGCAGAAAAAAATAACAGCTTGAATTTTGCAGGAAAATGGATGGAGCTAGAAAACATTATTTTGAGTGAGGTAACGCATACACAGAAAGACAATTATCATGTAAACTCACTCATAGGTGGTTTTTAAACATAAAGCAAAGAAAACCAGCCTACAAATCACAATCCCAGAGAACTTAGACCACAATGTGGACACTAAGAGAGACTTACATACATCTAATCTACATGGGAAGTAGAAAGTAGAAAAAAGACAAGATCTCCTGAGTAAACTGGGAGCTGGAGACCTTGGGAGAGGGTTGCAGTGTGGAGGGAAGAGGCAGGGAGGGGAACAGAGAAAAATGTAGAGCTCAATACTTATCAATAAAAAAAAAAAAGAATGCTTGACTGAATGTGATATTCTTACCTTAGACTGGTCAAGGATGTGAAGTTTCTCACATTCTAGTTCAGATTTTGTCCAAGGATCGTTCCATTTTTGAGAAGCTTCTTTTTCTTTCTTTTTTAAGGCAACCTGTTCATCTATAAATAATGTCCTTTTTAAAAAATACATATAAAAACTGTAAAAAAAAGAATCATGTAAACAAATCACGACCTTAAGGAGTACAAAATGTAGCATTAATCAAAGTAGTTTGCTTGAGAGAAGAAGACTCACAAGGCAGAAAGGAACTTTGAAGGATATGGGATAAAAGAAAATATTGAATTAGAGTTAAACTTAAGTACAACATAGAATGTTTTTATTACAGAGATCAGTAAGGGGAAACAATTTCTCAGAATACTGTTGTGCTAACTGCTCTGCGTTTCCATCTTTCTATGTTATTATTACTAACAGATTTATAAGGTACATAGCCTAACTTTAGGGTCAACTCCAAGCTCAACTGCTTCCTGCTGACGTAACAGATACACTGCTATTTTTTACGCTAAACCTTGGTTTCTTCTGTAAAATTAGGCAATAAAATTAGGCAATAGTATCACCTATTTCAGGGCAGGATACTCAGTTCTCACTAACTTCTGAAGGTAAAATAGGAACTGGAGTTATAGGCTAGTGAGATGGCTCACTGGTCACCAAGTCTGACACCCTAAATCCAATCCCAACAGTGGAAGAAGAGAACTGACCCTTACAAATTGTTCTGTGACCTACACACACACACACACACACACACACACACACACACACAGACATACACACAGAGACACAAACAGAAAAGGTCCAGGACTATTTGCAGGACTCCAGAAGGATGCCAGAGGCACACTGCTCATACTGAACCAAACTTGCTAATGTACTAAAAGGTAACCAAGTACCCCATGGGCCAACAGACCTATACCAGAAAGCATATAAATTACCAAGCTCTTTCTTCCACTGCACTCTTCTGGCTTCCAACAAACTTCTATCGCGCTCCCGTTCCCCCAGAGTACTGAATATGTCAGCTGGCTTCCACTCATTCTCTCTAAGATAGAACACACACAGGAACCAAGGAGCCTTATCATTATGTTTCCATGTGACTGACGGCCAAATCTTCAGAGCACTTCACATGCAATGGACAGGCAAATACATATTCTCCAAATACCCGAGAAACACATGTAAGTCACATACATGGCCATTTTCTGCTCACACTGCTGAAGGGCCTCTTGAGCTCTACCGAGGACACACTTCCCTTCATCTGAGACAGGTGAGACGGCCTCCGTCTTCTGCAGTGACCCTGTGGCATTCACACCCTTCGGCTGGCTAGGGACACTGATCAACTGGAAACTGTCTTGGCCTAGGAAATAAAACACATGTTTTAAAATCACACATGTTTTAAAATCATCCTAATATCCAATCAAAAGAAAAGTCTTAGCAGGCATGATGGCTCATACCCATAACCCTAAGGTATAACTCAGGAAGCCGGGGCAGGAGGATCACTCGGAGTTTGAGGCCAGTCTGGACAACATACCAAGTCTTTGGCCAGCCTAGGATGCAGAGTAAGACCGTGTCTCAAAATAAACAAACAAACAAACAAACAAACAAACGGAAACGGGGAAGTGTGGAAGCACCAACCTTGAGTCCCAGCACTCAGGAGGCAGAGGTAGGTCAATCTGTTTCAGGCCAGCCCTGGCCGCACAGTCAGAGCCTGACTCTTAGGAATGATAGCACACACCTGTCATCCTGGCACTCGGGCAACAGAGCAAGAGAATCAGAAGTTAAGGCAGCCTCAGCTGTAGAAAGAGCTGCGGGCTGCCCTGCGTCCCAGCTCATGGCCGCCTGGCTAACTTATGCCCTGAAATAATTACATGGAAACTGTATTCTTTTAAACAATGCTTGGCCCATTATCTCTAGCATCTTACTGGCTAACTCTCACATCTTGACTAACCCATTTCTAATGAGTGTAACACCACGAGGTGATGTCTTACCGGGAATATTCTTAACCTGCATCCATCTCGGAGAGGAGAGCTATGGCTACTGCCTGACTCGGCTTTCTTTCTCCCAGAATTCTGTTCTGTCTACTCCACCCACCTAAGGGTTGGCCTATCAAAGGCTAAGCAGTTTCTTTAATTAACCAATGAAAGTAACAGATAGATGACACTCCCACATCACTCAGCTACGTGATAGCACCTCAAAAACAAAGGCTGACAGCCTGGTCAGTAGAGTGCCCGCCTTGCACGAACACAGCCTTAGGCTGACCCCCAGCACCACATAATCCAGCACGTAGCGCAAACCTAGAGTCTTGGCACTTGGGAGGCAAGGGAAGGAAAACTGGGAGGAGTTCAAGACGACCCTGGAAACAACAGCAAAAGCAGACTGACAGGATCTTCTCGTTTGAGACAGGGTACTGGTAGACTGAGGCCAGGCTGACCTACATGAGACCCTTACCCCAAACAATAATCAAGAAAAAGAGAAAGTTGAGGCCCAGAGGTTAAACAGCTGACTCCTTGTCAAGCCGTATGACTTTTTACAACGACAACAAAACCAAAGCCAAGACAGAAGAATCAGGGCTGGGAATACCACTAAGCTTGTCTGGAACACAGCGAAATGCTTGCTTGTATGCCAACCCAGTGTACTCCGTCTCTAGCACTGCACAAACCAGGTGGAGCACAGCTGTGCTGAAAAGCTCAGGAGGTGGAGGCAGGAAGGCAGAAGGTCAATCTTCAGCTATGTCCTGAGTTTGAAGCCAGCCTCGTTGCAAAACAAAACACCTCCATTCACTCTTGCCAAAATAATTTATATTTACAGCTTAATTTATATAATTTAAAATTGCATGTAATTTGTAATTATATATAACTATAATCTAAATCACAATACAGAGAGAGGCAAATGCAAATAGTTTAATTAAAACCATGACCTCCCATAAATAAATGGAGGAATAATGGTTTGGGGGGTGGGAACAGAGAGGGGATGGAAGGAGAGACTGGGAGGCGAAGAGAGAGGGGAAACTGTGGCCGGGATGTAAAATAAATGAATAAATAAATTTATTAAAAAAACAACAACCATGACCTTGTTTTTCTTCTTTATCTGTGGAAGTTTTCTGTGAACTGTGGTCTAAGTGCCCAGCTACCATAATTAAATCAAGTTTTGTACAAGAAGTTCATGCTCTAGCTTAAACATCCGCGTAATCCCTCCTGAATGTGTCATTTCTCTTAGAAGAGGCAGCATCTAAAATGCAAGTTACCTCAGGATTAAGTAAAATGTCTTAACTCTACTGGTATTAACTCTCCTTATACCTATACAGTTCTGAGCTACAATTCTGGCCTAAAGAAAGCCAGCTTCCTTTATTTTACAGGTATCTAGACAGGGAGAAGGAACCCCACTCTGCACAGGCGGGAGCACACAGAAGCTCCCCGGCACCCAAGCTGCCTGCGTGACCCTTCCATGGCATCTGAGGACCTTCCCAGTCACAATGCCTGAGCTCAAAGCTGACAGTGGGCTTTTAACACAAAACCCTGATTGGCGGAACAGAAAGCCTACAATACTCTTCTAGGAATACATCCAATTTACACTGATTGGTGGAACAAAAAGCCTACAATACTCTACTAGGAATATATCTGATTTACACTGATTGGCAAACAGAAAGCCTACAATACTCTTCTAGGAATACATCCGATTTACACTGATTAGCGGAACAGAAAGCCTACAATACTCCTCTAGGAATACATCTGATTTACACCAGTGAAAGAACAGTACAGCCAACCTTAGCAGGGATGGAGGGAAGACAGGAAGCACAAACAGGAACCAGAACATGGTCTTTCAGAAACTCAAGTCTTCACAGCAAGGTGTCTTAAGATTCCCTTCAATATCAGAGGCTTATCTTTTTAAACCCTTGTGTGTAATTTTTTGTTTTTGAAATGGGTTCCCACTGTGTGGCTCAAGCTTGCCTCAGTTTGTGTACTCCTGTCCCAATCTGCTGAGTTCAGGGACTATAAGGCTAAACCCATTGCTGGCTTATATAAATATTTTAACTACTGAGCTATCTCTCCAGCCCCCAAACCAGCTTTTAAGATTATTTTGAGGCCAGGCACAGTGTCAAAGGCTTTTAATCACAGCACTCAATAGGCAGAGGCAGATGGATCTTCGTGAGTCTGAGCACCAGCCTGGTCTATGTACAAAGCTCCAGGACCAGACCAGAGCTACATAAAGAGACCCTGACAAAGAAAGAAAGGGAGGGAGGAAGGGAGAGAGGAGAAAGAAAGAAAAAATATTTTAAGCATTAATCTTAACATATGGCAACATTATAAAGCAGTTTTACATATTTTATGTAAGGCCTAATGTATGGTGGGGCACACCTTTAATCCCAGCATTTGGAAGGCAGAGGCAGGCGGATCTCTGTGAGTTTGAGGCCAGGCTAGGCTACAGAGCGTGTTCCAGGATAGTCAGGGCTACACAGAGAAACCCTGTCTTGTAACACCCTCCCTCCAAAAAAACAAAAGGTCACTGCATGTTAAATCAGATTTCAAGAGACAGTCTCAAAAGCAGCCAATGAATCTGAAATACAAAAGTACATACTGGGAAAATTAATAGTTAACAAGGTTTAAGAAGAATCTTACTTGCTTTCTCCTCCTTCCCATTTTCAGCTAGGGACACAGATCCACTTCCTTGGCTCACACTCATCAAAATCTGCTGTAGTTGGTCTTGGGTTAGACACACCATGCTGCTGTTCATGTTTTCGCTGACATGTGTTTTGCAAGGCTTCTGTTGAGCCACTCGGCATTTATCTGCGGTGTTTATAATCTTCTGGACGGTGGAGGCTGCAGGTGAAGACTCTTTCGGGAAATGAAGACAGTCTTTTTCTGCATGCTGCTGACATGAACCCTGAGACGGTGAAAACGGCAATCTGCTTTTCTCAGATCTTGCCTGTGAAGTTTCTGAACTGATTATCTTCTTTTGAAAAACGTTTTCACTCCCAGTGTAAGAATTCTGTGTTGATCTTAGAATGTGTCCAGTCTGTTTTATTCTTAAAGGACATTTTGCAATCTTGATCTTATTTCCCATCTGTGAAAACACAAGTTTATTCTTTATGACAGTATATGAAAAAAACTGACCTGTTCCTTTCTGTCTGGAGACACAGTTTTGCTATGCAGCCTAAGCCGGCCTTGATCCCCTCATCCCTTCTGAGACTGCAAGTATGAACCACTACACCTGGCTAACATCATCTTTATGCTTAAAATCTATGATAAACCAGGCCTCTAAGCATTTCATTTTGCTATTAATTAGGTACTATAGCCATAAGATATTGTTTACCTGTGCAAACTTTCCCTTCAAAGACTCAACAATGAGAAATTATTTTAACTCTAGGTAATAGAGAACACAAATAAAATTGTATGTTATAGGTCATCTTCATATGCCAGCTTTGAATTTTGTACCAGTAAATTATGTAACTCACACTCTCTTTGAGGTTACCAGTCCTTAGCCCTTGACTATCTTAGCTGCTCGGCCACACTCACCAATTCCAGTCCCGTGTGAATTACTATTGTGGTCACAGCCACATAGTAATTCTTCCACGCTTCTGGCAGTCACTTCCTGATACTCATCCGATATTCTCCAGATGGCCTCACTCATTCCCTGTAGAAGGAGCTGCGGGCAGGCCTGCTTTTCATCCCGCCTGGCTCCTGCATGGTTAGCTTTACACCCGAAATAACAACACACAAATTGTATTCATTTAAACACTGCCTGGCCCAATAGTTCCAGCCTCTTAATGGCTAATTCTCACATCTTGATTAACCCATTTTTAATAACCTGTGTAGCACCACGAAGTGCTGTCTTACCGGGAAAGATTCAGCATGTCTGAGCTGGTGGCTGGATCCTTGGCGTCTGTCTAACTTCCCTTCTTCCCAGCATTCTGTTCTATTTACTCCACCTACCTAATTTTCTGTTCTATCAAAGGGCCAAAGCAGTCTCTTTATTAACCAATGAAATCAACACAAAACAGAAGACTCTCCCACATCAATTCCCCAGTGTCCCTGATGTTACACTGTGACCCCAGTGATCTTATATTGACCCTGTAAGAACCCACAACTGCAAGCGCTCCACAATTCAAAGTTCTAGATAAAGACTATCACTCCTTTCTAGCCCATTCTCTCCCACATCCCAATCCTAAGTATTGTTTACACATGCTGGGTTCGACTACCTGCCCGTCCTAGCACCACCCCGCTTGCTCATTTCCTTCCTAACAATCCTTCCTTTTCCATTCTTTAATCTGCAGTCTGTCACATATACTAAGCAAACCCCTCACCTGTGTATTCCTGGCTCTTAGGTTTTGATTGTTTTTAAAAATATATATTATATGTATGTGTGCCTGAGTTTATGTTTATGAGGTCAGAAGAAGTGTGAGATCCTTTGGAACTGGAGTTACAGATGGGTGTGAGCTGCCCTATTGCAGGAGCAGTCAGTGCTCCTAGCCACTGAGCCATCCCTCCAGCTGCTGGCTGCAGGTTTTGGATAACTCCGGCATCCGGGTACCTTTTTGCTTTTGCATCCCTGGAGCTTTTACAATATAACTGTCTAAATGACAGGTGAACAGGTTAGACCAGATGGAAACTGGCATGATCTCCAGGGCATTTCTCTCACCTAAAGGATGCCACCGCACTTTCCCAGCTCTGCTGCACTCTTGTACAGGATACAGCCTAGCTGTAAGATCCTCCAATAGTTCAAGAAATTCAAGAATGCCAGATTTCAGATTCTCATTTTTAGGCATAAACAAGTCATTTTAGAGCCAAGTGTGGTTTACTCCTTTAATCTAGCACTCAGGAGGCAGAGGCAGGTGCATCTTGTGAATTCCAGGACAGCCAGGGCTGTGTGGAGATATAAAGGTAAACTTTATGTCTTATATATCCCCAAGGTACAACGTCTTCCACAATAACTTATTTTTCATAATTTGGCATTTTGTAATATTTTCTATAGTCCCGGAATATACTTCCCAACTTCTTCTCAAAACAAGTCCTTTTAGTTTTTCAAAAGTCACTTTATCAATCAAATTCTCAAACCCTGCACATGGCTCCGCCAGGTGACCCCAGCCACCAGCTCACACCGTCTCCAGCTGCTGTTCTTCTGCTGTCTTCACCCACGAGACGGTGTCATCGTTGGGCACTTTACTTCTTTAAACATCATCCCAGTCAAACTCCTAAGCGTTGTGCACTCCTGTAACAGGCCTTAGAAACCACTTCCGGCCCCTCTCATCCCTGTGACCTTACCAGGCGCTCCTTGGACTGCCGTCACTGACCAGTGATCAGTTTCAGTGATGGCCATCTATCTGCTGTCACAGGGCTACCTACTGTGCTTTCCCACCTCCCTTATCAAAAATCCTACTCTGAGCTGAGCTTGTAGTGTAAGCCTGAAATCCCAGCACTGTGGCGGGGCAGGAAGACAATGAAGTTCTTTGCTAGCCTGAGTATTGGAGCAAAAATTCAAACGTTCCACACAAGCTTTGTGTCCTAGGTGTCCCTGGGTACATCATTTTCTACAACAACTTATTTTTCATAATTTGGCATTTTGTAATATTTTCTGTAAGCCTGGAATATACTTCCCAACTTCATTAACTAATCCCTCACCTCTGAACTTCTAATCACAAAGTCACCTCATGTGTGCGTCGTCTCTCGGTTCCACACTGGTCTCTAGCTAGGTCTCTAGCTCCCCCAACCTGACCTCGCTCTTCTGGAGAACAAGGGCAGAGCTTTTTCACTGTCTCCCTCTCCTGAAGAGGACAATAGAGGCCAGAATGGAGCTGGATGCCGTGTGGAGCTTCACGCTGCCGGAAATCCCTGCTGGACACAAACCTACCAACTGCAGTCCAGTGACAAGGATTATTTTGCCATATGCCAGTTGTGCCAGAAGTGTTATACAGAAAAGGTCTTCTTAAAACATAACCAAAACCCTAAAACCTCAGCTGGGAAGTGGGGGCGCATGTCTTTAATCCCAGCACTCTGGAAGCAAAGGCAGGGGGATATCTGTGAGTTCGAGGCCAGCCTGGTCTATGAAGTGAATGTTCCAGAACAGTTAGGGAGGGCTATTACACAGGAAACCATGACACATTATATCAAGATATACTTAGTTAACTCTGAACCAAAGAGGAATAATAAAAGGAGACTGGAAAAAAAACAAAAACAAAACCTTACCCATAAAAGTTCAGTTATGTTCAGGTTTCTGAGCAAAAAAAGCAACAGAGCCCATATCATTCCCAAGAGCTTAATGGATGAGATTATGTCATAAACACCTTTTCATAGTACACCGCTTTTTTTCTTTTCTTTTTTAAACCAAGTTCTATGACTACTTCTTATACCATCAAGACAAAGTTCTGGTTGGGGAGATTGCCCAGTGATTAAAGTGCTTGCTACAAAACTGCAAGGAGCAGTATTCAGATGCTCAGAGCACACATGAATGCTGGGCGCATATGAAGACCAGCCTGTAATCCAAGCGCTCAGAAAGCAGAGGCAGGAAATCCTCTAGAGAAAGCTGCCCAGATTGACTAGACTGGCTGGTTCTGGGTACAACTCAGAGACCCTGCCTCAGCATTTAGAACCAATGAAAGTATACATTTCACACGTGGAAACAGGTAGGGTCAAAAATCACTTAACTTACCTTCACAGAAACTTTTGATTTATGCTCTACAAAAGAAAATAAAATTACTAAACTATAAACCCAAAGCATATGTGACAAAAGAAAACGTTAAGTGCTATTTAAGATGACAATAAAAATACCAGCCCAAAAGCATTAAGCCCCACTTGAGTAGTCCAACTTTTACAATGTGGTGGTTCAAGCAGTGACCTCCGTTTCATCTTTGTTTCAGTTATCTTCCCAGGACAAGACTACAAACCCACGTGTGGGGGGTAGGCAAGTAACTTCATGGAGAAGACTGAAAACTATACTGAGTTTCAAAACTAACAAATAATAGTAATAAAATACTTTAGCAACTATGGCTATATTAATATAAATATAACTTTCTCACACAATAGTTTGGTAACATGCAAAGCACATAATTTTCTAAACTCCACCTGCATTACTGATTCAGCAAGAAGGTATGTTAGCATCAAAAACATGACAGATGGAATACATTTTATGAACCAAAACGGACAGCAGCAATCACTGTCGTGATCTGATTTTACCCGGATAAACATCAATTCAAAAGCTTTTCCCAAGTGTCATTTAACTGTATCACAAGCAAAATGTCTGCCAAACTACTACATGTTCTACATACAAACTTAAACATTTTAGACTTCCAATAACACAGCATACCATATGGAGACAGTATCAGCTTGGTTTTTCCATCCAATAATTCAGTTTCAAGCTTTAAGCCATCTCTGCAATATAAAAAGAAATTGATTTCGACACTTTAATAGCAACCAGAAATATTTATATGAACCTTGAAAGTAAACCTAGTCCTCTGAATGTATATAGGAATCATGTGACCATCAAAGCAGGGGTTTTGTTTCTCTAAAACCATATAGTCCACGATGCCCTCAACCTCACTAATGTAGGCCATGCTGGCTTTGAATTCCTGATCCTCCTGCCTGAACCCCTCTCAAAAGTAGTCTTTATATTTTAGAGTATTTTTTAAAGAGCTGAACCAACACTGTAGCTAACAGCCACCTCTCTGGCCTTCAAGGGCACCAGGCACACAAGTGGCCCATAGTCTTATGTGCAGACATGGCACCCATACACACACAATTAAAATAAACATCTAGAAAGGCCTTTTCAACTAAAGAGGAAAAAAAATCACAGGAAAAGACTTAGAACTTCTCAGTGAGGCAAGCGTTTGTCATTTTTAGCCTGAAACATGATTTTTGCTACTGGTAAGGAATAAAGTAATTAGGTTATAACAGCATCCTTTAACCTGTAGCTCTATACCAAAAATCCTATGCTACTGCCACAAACTACTTACCAAGGTGTAAGACACTGGTATGCCATTTATTAGTTTTGTAATGGTTCATGACTGACTTTTCTAAGGAAGGCTGCAAGCACGTGGAAATGTTTAAAACGGTCACCAAGGTGACAGCTGCTTAAATATGCCAGTTTGGGCATATTTCATATGATACATGAGTGCTTTAGTGCCTCTTTGTTTTTACTATCATAATAAATGCACAAGAAACGTTGGCTAGTACAACACTTTACATGTCAAAGGCACCAACATAAAAACGGTAAACGCTACCAGCAAAACTTCTCTTGTCTATTAAGGTAATCATCACAACTCCACTGGTGGGATCACACGCAGTATTTCATTGTTTTATTGGGGGTGGATGGGGAATGTGTCCATGAACAGCAACGAAGACAAAGGTGATGTTAAAGAGAAAATATCACACCAAGGTCTAACTAGCAACGCTGAACTCAGTGTTGCTTTGATAGAGGAATCAAAGTGCCTTGGTTTGTTAAGGAAAAAATCTGGGAGAAAGCTTGTCTGAGGCATCCGGTAGCAGGGCTATGAACAGCTCATGTTTACGTTATAAGGCAACATCTTGAATGAAACCGAAGTTGCTAGTACTCTATCCTACCTCTCCTCCCGGGGGCTGGACAAACTCCCAGATGAGAACCTAACATCCAGCTTCTGGATGCGCGGCTACATCCCGGTTTGGTAGCCGGTGAAAACGCTGAACTTCTGAAATGAAGACCACGCCCAGACTCGGTCCTGCCCCACCCGGGGTGCCCCAGCTTGGTGCAGGGCATCGGTGGCGACCGGAGCTGCTCGCCCTCCGGGGCGCCGTCCCCGTTCCGGGGCGCTGCGCCACCACAGCCCGCGCTCGACCGCCGTCCCCGCGCCCGCCGCCCTGCAGCCCAGGGTGTCCCCGCCCGCTTACCCTAGGTTCATGGCCCGGTCGCCCACCCGCAGCTCAGCCAGGCCACTTGTGTACCCAGGTCGCCGCGGCTGCGCAACAAACGCTACGCCGATTGGATGCCTAGGGTCAGTCGAGCCAATCAGAGTGGTGCATGCTAGCGGGTGTGTTCGGCCTGAGTCGGCCTCCCCGGGCTTCCCGTCGTAGGGGCGTCTGCAATTCCCAGGGTTCCGGCCGTCCTCAGGGAGTCGCCTTGGCTCAGACGGATGTTTCCAAACAGACGGAAACAACAGATGTAACTCTCTTATTTCGTATTTAAAGGAGAAATTTATTTTAGCACAAAATGTTGAGAGACTAGGGATGCCTGGGGGCACATAGTGTGTGTCTGTCTCTTGCGTCTCATCAAGCCTTGCATACTGAAGTACTATAAAACCATCATCATTTATGCCCCAGCAATGCATAAGCATGCATGAGCAGCCGTTTATGACGGTTGTTCAGTTGTTCCTATCCTGGGCAGTCCTAGATGCTGTGTTACTGTCACACCCGAGGTTCCACGTCTTCCTTTATGTTGTCTATCCAGCGTTTTCTGGGTCTTTCTCTTCGCCTTATCCCGTGCGCTCCTTCAAGCAGTGCTATCTTCGGGTATCTGCCATCATTGATTCTTGTAATATGGCCGAAGTATCTCAAGTGCCTTTGCCCTTCTGTAGATGGAGATATCTCTCTCTCTCTCTCTCTCTCTCTCTCTCTCTCTCTCTCTCTCTCTCTCTCTTTCTGTTTTTTTTTTTTTGTTTTGTTTTGTTTTGTTTTTGTTTTTGTTTTGTTTTTCGAGATAGGGTTTCTCTGTAGCTCTGGAGCCTGTCCTGGAACTAGCTCTTGTAGATCAGGCTGGCCTCAAACTCACAGAGATCTGCCTGCCTCTGTCTTCGGAGTACTGAGATTAAAGGCCTGCGCCACCACCGCCTGGCTGATGGAGATATTTCTTAATGTCATCGCTGCTCAGCCTGTCTCTTTGTGTGACACCTAGAACCCTCCTAAGGTCTCTGGTTTCTGCTACACTCCCTATGAGATTATGGGGGCCAATTGCGTTCAAACTAACACACCCTCATCTGAGGAGTGGGTAGGGGGAGGATCATGAGACCCTCCTCTGAGTATCCATCCACCATTCTCAGACAATTACAGACAATACTGCCATAATTTACTCGTGGTTCTGGGGAGATGATGCCCAAGTATGTACAGCCATGGAGAAGTCATCCTGCTTGCTGGTTGCATTCCATCCAATGTCATTACTTTCGGCTCACCCAAGCTCCAGCCTGAAAACCGTCACCCATGCTCGCTCCGAAAGCAACCCTAACAGCATTGTTCTGTTGTTAGCATTCCAGGAGGAGGAACTACCTTGAGGAAGAGCCATCTTTAAATTTTGTCTTGTTTTGTTTTTAAAGATGTGTATGTGTGTGTGCTCCCCCGCTTCCACCCTGTCCAATAACAGGGTTGGCATAGCCACCTGACTTGAGTGTTGGGGTCCGAACTTGGCGCCTCTGGAAGAGCAACAAGTGACAATTTTGACTGAGCCTTAATACATTAACAGGGGTCATTCAGACAACTAGACATAGGCTGTGTGGTTCAGTGGTTCAGTGGTCAGTGCCTCTTTGTGCCCCGGAGATAGCTCTGTTGGTGACAGGTATACGAGTCTGGTTCATGTTGTGACCATCAGCGCAGCACATAAAGAGCCAAGGAGGAATATATTCAAGACTACTAGTACTCTTGGACAATGAAACGCTCCTCAGAACAGCGGCCGATGTGTTCGAGACGTCATGGCTCAGGAGGATTCTAGGCGGCACACGAAGAGACAGGCTGAGCACCGATGCCATTAAGAAATATCTCCATCTCCAGAAGGCTATGGCAAAGGCATTTGAGATACTTCAGCCATGTTATGAGAATCAATGAGGGCAGATCCCGGAAGATAGCGCTGCTTGGAAGAGCGCACGGGATAAGGCAGAAAGGAAGCCCCCCCTCCAAATATGCTGGATAGACAGCATAAAGGAAGACGTGGAACCTCGGGTGTGACAGTAACACAGCATCTAGGACTGCCCAGGATAGGAACAACTGGAGAACCGTCATAAACGGGCTGCCCATGCATGCTTAAGCATTGCCGAGGCATAAATGAATGGATGGATGGATGAATGAATGAATGAATGAATGAGGACTAGACTAGAAACCCTTCCCCACTGAGGCTGGTGTTTTGCAGAGCAGAATGAGAAAAAGCAGACACTTTGAAAATGATATGTAAAGGTCTCAGTCTTCCAGCATTTGGGTGCCATTCAGAGTCTAAGTTTCCTCTCAGTTCTGTCCTCTTCCTTCTTGGAAG